TGAGATTCTTGAAGATGTTTTGCCTCATCCAAGAGGCTTCTCTAATTCTGAGAACTGAGATTACAATGACCTGGATGACTGAGAACCTCTACCGACACGTACTGAAAACTGCTGTGAGATCTGCTTATTGTCAATATAACTATGAAAACCATCCATCCTGTGACTGTCTGAGGTCTCTAGTTTGTGGCTGTAGTTTCATGAGGCTGTGATTATCCTAGTGGTCACAATAGGTCATTTTATACACTGGTGTCCGTTTCAAAGACAAGGTCTCTCTACAGTGAAATGGCTTCTATGGGGGCTAACTTCATTACACATGCATAAAACTGGGCTAATTGAACTCACAAGAGCCCTAGCTTTCAGGTCCTACCCAATTTATGCAATTCCAAGAATGTGTAAGGACCCCAGTATAGAGACAGAACGCAACGCGTCATAATCTGAAAGCCCCGCCCCCAAAGGGGAAACAAGGCCTGCTTTCCCCTCCGCTTCTTCGCACGTTCGCTGTCATTCTGCCTCCGCAGCTGTGCCTTCAAGTCTCCACGACTGAATTGCCAGCTAGCTAGCTAAAATTATTAGCTATAGCTAGCTAATAATTAGCTAATAATAAGATGGCAAAGGATTATTTTAGCACGCTATACCTACCAGAGAGGCAATGGTATATTGATAAGCTTAATATTGCCAGTCTACCTCAGTATCCCTTCTCCTTACCTTGCTCGTCTTGGAAAAAAACATGATGTGGAGATTCTTTTTTAAGAAAATGAGCATTTCAGCATGCTCAGCTGTCAGCCTGCTCCTACTACTGGCACACATTGTTGTTTTGAGACATGCCTCTACATGCTGGTAGATTGATAGAAGTGCTAGAGCGCACCGCTGGAATGGACTGCTTGAATTGCGGAGCGCTGGGCACAATTATAACAGAAGTTGCATTCATACTGTCAATGCTTTAGCTTAACATACATAAATACAGTTAGCTGTTATTCTAAAAAATACATTTGGAGGGTCTGACAAAGTGTTTGCTGCACACAGGCATAGGGAGTGTCAGGATCCCACAATTTCTTCCCTGTTGAAGCCTCACGTTTTATTGTCTGTATCCACTTTTGTCTTCTACAAGGTTGATAAAAGCTAAGCTCTGGGTTTTTACTGGCAGTGCAGCCCACCACACAGCAACTTTTCAGCATTTGGACTTAAGGAAAACTCAACAGGATGGAAACGGAGGGGGAAAGTGTGAGGGGAAAGCGGGCCTAGTTTCCCCTTTGGGGGCGTGGCTTTCAGATTATGACGCGTTGCACTCTGTCTCTATACAGAAATATTCAAATACAATCCAGGTAAAATTAACACATTTATACTGCATGCAAAAAACTGCAGGGTTTATCCCTAAAACTGCATGGGATTAGCATAAAGTAAGTATGTATGTAAAGGAAGGACTCATGGGTACCCATAGAAGCCATTTTCAGTCAGATATCTTGAGGTGAGAGGTCAAGGGACCCCTGAAATGGCCATACCGTTTTTCTCTTGCCAAAATTTAGCCTTACTTTGGAGCGTTATTTAGCCCCCTAGCCAACAAGCTTGCATGATTGGTTAGTACCACCGGATTTCTTAGATCTTTTAGTTAAACCAGTATCATCACTCGAGCTTTAAAAATCCCCTACAGCCTCTTAGAGACAGGAATGTCAGCAGGGACATGAGCAGGACACATCATCTGAAAGAAATGGTTAGTACCACTTACTTCCTTAAAGGGGCAAAAAGCAAAATCGTTTCACCACTAGGTTTGCTGTTGTGCACTGCCTGTAGACCAAAACAAAGTGTGTCATGAGCCACTCCTCCCTCTACCTCTGCTCTCCACCCCCCACTCGCCTCGTCTAGCAGTTAGCAATGTCTCGGTCTCTGCTGTGTTTAGCTATTCCCCTGCCTACTTCAATGATGATGGTACCTGTAATAAATGTAATATATTTGCTGAGATGGAGGTGAGGCTCAGGGACTAGAGGAGCTGGTAGAAGCGCTCCTGGCTGCCCGCCAGGCTTGCGGGCTGCCTGCTAGGCTAAAACATTACTCTCACTCACGGAGAAGAGTAGGAACATTAGCGTTAGCTCCCAGTGTTAGCCGAGTCGGCTAGAGCCCGCCAGGCTGCCCGCCTGGCTCGCGGGCTGCTCAAGCTCCGGACATTAACCCATCCCGGTGTTTCCTCCACAGCCTCCACTTCACCCAGCTTCACTCAGCTGCCCGAAATACCTGCTGCTTCTTCCCACTTTAACCCGAAGCGATGTTTTAGCCTGGAGAGCAGTCCGCGAGCCAGCTGCCCGCTAGGCTAAAACATCGCTCTCACTCACGGAGAAGAGGAGGAACGTTAGCGTTAGCTCCCGGTGTTAGCACTAGCTGGGATCCGGCGATGTCTCTAGCCGAGTCGGCTGCCACCGGCTACTGGAGTAACTTACAGCTATGGAGCGCTTCTATCAGCTCTTCTAGTCACTGAGCCTCGCCTCCATCTCAGCAAATATATTACTGCCCACAAGCCTGCCAGGCTGCCCGCGAGGCTACGTTTTACAATGCTAATTGAAAATGTTAGCTGGGCTGCCAGGCTAACTTACTCACTTAACACAACCGTAACGCCTGACCCACTGCTGGGACCGAGCCGCTAATAACTCAAGCTCCAGACATTAACCCATCCCGGTGTTTCCTCCGCAGCCTCCACTTCACCCAGCTTCATTCAGCTGCCCGATAAACCCGCTGCTTCTTCCCACATTAACCTGAATAACAAACCAGGGCTCGGTGCTCCAGTTGGATCCAAACAGAGAGCCGGGGCTAGTTGGGAAGCTAGCGGAGGCTAACTGTGCTTACCTCCGGTCATGCTGCGGCTAACGCCTCGCAAGCAGCTCCCAGCTAGCTCCGGATTGTTATTGAGGTTAAAGTGGGAGAGGCAGCGGATCTGTGGGGCAGCTGAGTGAAGTGGAGTCTAAGGAGGAAGCACCGGTTAGTATGGCAGTGTTTTACTAAAGGTCACAAGGTGGGGTTGTTGTGGTCAAATATGTCATGCACAAGCTAATGGAGAACTTGGTTACCAAATTTCATTTAATCTAAGTCAACAGAATTGCAATATGTATGTGGCATTCCCCACACTTGTGCTATGAAGCTATGTCTACAACATTTCCAAATTTGGTTGCAATCCAATTTAGCATTGAAGAGTTATGGCCCGTTAAGTGCATCATGCCACATCTTCAAAGATTTAGTAATCAAGATGATACCCAAAATAAACTAGATTTGCACTAAAACACAGACAAAAAGCTTATTATCTGAAAGGGGTAGTGCACCCAAAAATGAAAATTCACCCATTATCTACTCAGCCATATGCCGATGGAGGCTCAGGTGAAGTTTCAGAGTCCTCACAACACTTGCGGAGATCCAAGGGGAGAGGGGGTAGCAACACAACTCCACCTCATGGAGGCTTACGGCACCCCAGATTCAAACGTCCAAAAACACATAATTGAAACCACAAAATATGTCCATACTGCTCGTCTGTAGTGTGATTGTCCACAACTCCATCATCACAGCCCTGTTGATGCTTCCTCATCCAGTAAACGTGTCCCCTGGATGAAACCTTTGAGCTTGGGGAAAAGAAAACAATCCTCAAACACCTCTCTACTCACCTGACCTGGCTCCAGGTGATTTTTGTGGCACCAGGTGAGTAGGGAGGTGTTTGAGCTTGGGGAAAAGGAAACAATCCTAAAAGGTTTCTTCCAGGGGACACGTCTGGATGTAGAAGCATCAACAGGGCCATGACGATGGAGCTGTGAAAATGTATGTTGTCACAAAAACGACACCTTAATATTTGTTATGATTTCCCAAAACTTAGTTAACATTTCTCACCTGTGTGCTGGATGTATGGGCTCCAGCAGACTGACCCGACTGACCAGATGCCATCATCGCAAGCAAAACAGACACTACGCTGCGGTTACAGTGCTATGTGGAAATCGGACATATCAGCACTTAAAATGTGGCTGTTGAACTGCAAAATCTGGCATAATTTATCGCTCTTATACTGCAATTGGTGCTCAGTACTGTCTAAAACAGATTTCTAAATGGAAGTTTGTCACTGGCATCAATTTTTACACGGCCAGTCACATGAATATAGTGTATATAAGTGTTGAGTCAGAATTTTTTTAGTTCCTACGTTCCCTGAAGGCATTGTCACTCATGATTCCACACCCCTCTCAGTTGATGCCACGCCCCCCACGCCACATCAGGGTCAAAAGTCTGAAACTCAAAAAAACAGATTTGAAAGTGAAAAAAAAAAGATCTGAAAGTGAAAAAAAGATTTGAAAGTGAAAAAATAAGATTTGAAACTGTAAAAAATAAGATCTGAATCAGAAAAGATAAAACATGCAACTGAAAAAAATAAGACCTCAAATGTTAAAATATATATGGAAGTGAAAAGTGAAAATAAATTATTCATTCAAAATAATTACCAAAGTGAATCAAAGTTATATTTAACCTGAAAAAACATTTCATACACTTACTTTTATTTTGAATACATTGTTGTATTTTTCAAAATTCAAGATCAACACATGAATTTCCAGTTTCAAATTTTATTTTTTCAAGTACAAAACTTTTGACCCTAATGTAGCTCCATAGAGCTGCAGGCGACAATGAGGCTAAAAACAGAATTCAAATGATAATGGGTGAATTTTCATTTTTGGGTGCACTATCCCTTTAAAGAGTATGAATGGTAGAAATAAAAGTGAAAGCACACCTGTCCTCAAAGAGCATTTTGGTATTTGGATGGTCACTGAAAGTATGGAAAAGTAGTTAGCAACCAAAAAGCATAATGAAGAAGAAGAATAGGAGAACAGTCTGAATGCTGGATGAGCATCCACACAGATATGCAAACCAGTGCCAAGGTGTGGCTCTTTTATGTGAGAACTATATCAGGCAACTACTGTAAAGGAACAGAAAGAATACGTTTTTTTCCACTCGTCTATACCAATTCTTTTTTCCATCTATTCCTTCAGTGTTCATCAGACTGTGGTCAAGGTGTTCGCAAACGGATGGTGTCATGTACAAACCCTCAGGGTCTTTGTGATCCTCTGTCCCAGCCTGCTCAAGAGGAGCACTGTGAGGACCACTCCAGATGTTACGAATGGAAGACTGGAGACTGGTCCAAGGTATGGATATCTTCACACCCCATGGTTCAACTCCCTATGTGCCCTCTCGAAAGAGGAAAAAAGTCACAATCTCGATTAATTTGTTTAGACTTGATATGTGGAAGAAATTTCAGTTTTTGTTAAGGATTTAATATTTTCCTATAATTAGTAATAATACCAACTTATCAGTGGTGAAGCCACTAACATTACCCAATAGCCTGATCATAGAGCAATCACAACAACAAATTTAAACCAAATCAACAGCGTGACATATGCATTGACAAAAGGTAAATAGTCTTGCTCAGCTTGAACAGTAATGCTAACATTATGCTATGCCCAGATGTTACAATGTCAGTCCATGAATAGAGGGTGGAGAGTTGCTACTTTGATGTGCTGCTTTTGTTAGTCAGTGGTGCCGTCTTTTGTGGATGAACCGGGCTTGGTTCCGATACAGTCTATCTGTTGTCATTCTTTTAAGGAGTTAGCAGCTTGGAGTTGACTTGGCTCTGTTCTACTTGTTGCTTGTAAAGTAGCTTGCAGATGTTGCATTATATCTGCTGGTGCTAAACTGTCTACTTGTTCGGTCAGAGAGCCATTTGAGGAGAGGAGAGAGAGAAAACAGCAGGAGTGTTGGTTTTGTTGGGTAGAGTTTCACACATTGGTGTGAAAAACAGAGGATTGTGGAAAGCAGCATTGGTTAGGAAGTGTCCATTTCACAGTTAATTAGGGGTGTAGACCAAGTGCAAATACTTAAATTTGGGTACTTGCTGATACCAAGTACCAATTCGAGTACTTAATAATGCCATTAGAGTTCTTACAGTTACTTTGACAATATGTTTTATTTTCATCAGATGTTCTTCAATTTCTGACTGTGGCAAATTGTGGTTACTGACATTGTAACATTCAGCTGTATGTGTTTGCTTTGACAAAGTGAGAGGCATGTTCTTTTTGATAAAGAAGAAGAAGAAGCTTCTAGTCAGGGTCACTGTGTCCTGATTTCAACCTTTGTTCAAAATCTTTGGGGTGTTTCTAAACTATACATTTTTGGAAAGTTTAGAATATGACAAACCCCAAAACCAATGTTTCCATTTTTTTCAAAGTCTTTGTGGCGGCCATCTTGGACTTTCAAAATGGCGACCACCCATAAACTGTTTTTAGGTGAGTCCCTAATGATAAATTAAACTGGGTTTAAGAGTTAATTACATTTTTTTTCAAGCCAAAGAAACAAATGGGACCATTTCCAATACATTAAAAAGAGAATCTGATGCTGCACCTGCCTATAATGTGTTTTTTTTATCAGGTAAATAATTGCTGTATCTCTCGTTAATGTATCTCTTATTACTACATTGGCAAGTAGCTAGGTAGTGTTAGCAGCTGGCCTCAGAAAAACAACAGCAAAGATAACCTGAGTGGCTAGTGTTAACCACTAGTTGACATACCTAGCTAATGTAAAACACAATAGGTTATTTAGCAGTTATCAGTTGAGAACTCACTTGACAGCTAACTGTGCGTTCACACCAAACGCGATGGACGCGATGAATGCCACAAGTTTCCATTCAAAATCAATGTAAATGACGCAATGACACGCGATGTCGCTTTGGGCGATGCGTTTCAGGTGATAAGAGCAACGCGATGACGCGTCCATCGCCTCATCGCGTGTGTCGCTTGAAGTTGAAAATTTTGAACTTTTCAACCGACATTGCGTGATGCTGTGCTGCAACATCCAATCAGCGTTCATTTTCATAAAGAAATTATAAGCAACTAACCCGAGACAGATGGACAGGCGCTCCGCAGCTGGGATGGAGCGCCTGTAGTTGGTGTCCAGGCGGGAGATCCTCGCACCGATACGGGCCAACAGGTCCTCAAACTGGGCCAGCGTCAGCCTGAAGTACCGCTGGAAACGACCGTCATCCAGACGCAGCTCTTGCAGGAGGTGATGATATTCACCCAGCTGTGTGCGTTTCTGGAGGATATTGTGAACCCAGACACGGCAGCGTTTGGGTCTCCGATCCAAATCAGATGTCCACAACAGATAAAGAGCAGCTACGGTAGTTAACTCAGCCATGGTTGACAAGAAAATAGCGGGAGGTGAAGAAAATTGCGGGAGGAGGGTTGCGTCATCGCGATTGAAGCGATGAAGCGATGATCAAAAAGGTGACATTTGTGATCAAGTGACGCGATACTCGCGTTATGGACGATGACATCGCGTCCATCGCGTTTGGTGTGAACGGATGGACAGCGTCATTCAGCCAGGTGACTCGTCAGTCTGAAAATGCCATTTTCAATTTCAATTTTCAATTAAATTTTATTTATAAAGCCCAATATCACAAATCACAATTTGCCTCACAGGGCTTTACAGCATCCAACATCCCTCTGTCCTTTGGACCATCACAGCGGATAAGGAAAAACTCCCCCAAAAAAAACCTTTAATGGGGGAAAAAATGGTAGAAACCTCAGGAATAGCAACTGAGGAGGGATCCTTCTTCCAGGACAGACAGACATGCAATAGATGTCATACAGAACAGATCAACATGATAAATTAACAGTAATCCGTATGACACAATGAGACAGAAAGAGAGACAGAGAGAGAGACAGACAGAGGGATTTTAGTGTCAGTATGTTTAGAAGGGTTAGGGCTGGGTGAAAATGGGTCCAGTATTTACTTCAGTGACTATAAGTTGAGAGAATTGGTCATAATCTGTACTCATGTTCACTTTTCCCATTGGAATGAATAGACTCAGGACCACTGCTTGTCTCCTACAGGGGTGGGGCACGTGACACAGATACAAGGGGGAAAATCTGAAGTGAGCCATCTAGATTTATCAGTGGTCTCTGCTCTCTTCCTCCCTCTCAAACACACAAACACACTTTGGAGAGAACCACAGGGCTCAGTTCTTGTCTCTGTTCTTGTGTTAAACTGAAGGGCTTTGGACATCCCATACATGCTCAGCTACATCATTTTTCAGATGCTAGTGAAGCAGGATATGGAGCCGTCACTTATCTTAGGATGCAGAACCATAAAAATGACATCCATGTTACATTCCTGATGGATAAGGCTAGAGCGACACCTTTTAAGAGTGTTACTATTCCTCGCTTGGAGCTGAGGTCAGACACACCAAAAGGGCAGGCTCTGTCAGCAAAGGATCTTTTGGAGGCCGAGCTTGCCATCATTCAGTACTGCCAGCAACAAAGATTTGGAGAAGAGATTGCTACGCTGTCATCTGGGAAAGCTACTGTGAGCAGGCACAGTGTTGTCTACAGATTGGACCCATATTTGGATAATGGGCTTCTGAGAGTTGGAGGACGGATGACTAGGGGCTCACTACCAGAGGAAACTAAACATCTGCTTATCTTCTCCAAGGATCAACATGTTACCACTCTCATCCTGAAGCACATTCACAAGCAGCTTGGCCATAGTGGTCACAATCATACGCTGTCCACACTGAGAAGGAAGTACTGGGTCACAAGTGTCAACTCAGCTGTGAGAAAGGTCATAACAGAATGTGGTTTCTGCAGGAGGTATAATGGAAGATTGGTGGAGCAAAAGATGGCAGATTTGCCAAAGGAAAGGATTCTTCTTGATTATCCACCGTTTACCAACATTGGGATTGACTATTTTGGACCGATTGTCGTGAGCAAAGGACGAGGCACAGTTAAGCGCTATGGTGGGGTTTTCACCTGTCTAGCCGTCCATTTGGAGGTGGCTAACTCTTTGGATACAGATGCATTTATCAATGCTCTTCACCGTATCATCTGCAGGAGAGGTGAAGTTGCTCATATTCAGTCCGACAATGCAACCAATTTCATCGGAGCAGAGAGAGAGCTAAGGGAGGCACTTGCATCATTGAATCATGCACAAATTCAAGGAGCTTTGCGGGAAAAGTGAGTTAAGTGGAGTTTCAATCCTCCAGCAGGTTCACATCATGGTAGAGTCTGGGAGCATGTAATCCGACTGTTGAGAAGGATTCTGAGTTCAGTGCTTCAACAGCAGAGACTGGATGACGGTGGACTTAAAACAGTAATGTGTGAAGCTGAAGCTATCTTAAGCCATCGGCCCATCACCAGACTCTCGGATGATCCAAACGATTTGGAGCCGCTCACTCCTAATCATATCCTACTCATAAAGAGAAGGCCATCCTTTCCACCTGGATTGTTTGAGCCACATGATCTGTACGCAGAGAGAAGATGGAGACAAGTATATCTCGGACCTTTTCTGGAAACCATAGGTACGGGAATACCTACCGCTGCTGCAGGAGAGGCAAAAGTGGAACCAGAAAAGGAGAAACCTTAAGCCTGGAGATATTGTGGTCATAATGGATGCTACTGCCCTTATGAGGCTCCTGGCCACTAGGAAGAGTCTTGGAGGCTTTCCATGATAAAAAGGGACTTGTGCGTTCAGTGCGTCTGCAGACAAAGTCCTGTGTCATTGAATGTCCTGTGACAAAGCTTTGCTTGCTACATGAGAGTACAGATTAGTAGGTCATCTCAGGTTTCTGCGTATGTGGTACATGAGACTACATTGTGTGGTAAAATGTGCTCATTGTATCATTTAGTAGTAGCAAGCCCGTCAATTAGTTTTAGCCTGTCTATGCAGCCTCTCAGTGGCTTTAAGTTTTAGGCTTAGCCACTACACTGAGGATGACATCACTGAGGCTCTGAGGATGCTTACAGATCATTTTTGAGTAACAGCGGAACAACAGAAACACTTGACTCGGTTTGTGTGTGCTTCCTATTACTCAAAAGGATTCACAATAAGAAACATTCCAGAGCTAAGATGGCACATTTTGACAACTATAATGCAGAGAGTAACACGCAACCACCTACAGAGGATGCACTGAAGCAGCTTATTGATAGGGGAGCTACATGTTCAAGCTCGAGTTTGGAGCCAGGCAAGCATTCAGCAGCAGGTAGCTTTGAATCTGCAAAATGGCTAAAGGCTAGTTGAGTTACCAACTCCTTACACGCCACACACAAAGCACGCCAACCGGAGCACGCCACACAGCCCTCTCCAGGTAAACGGGAGGTAGAAGTGAGTGCGCCCGTGAGGGGAAGACCAAATAATGCAGGTGCCACCACTGCGCAATTAGGCTCCGACAGCTGGAAATTAGGCCCAGCTGATGCCAATTAAGGGCGGAGGTGTAGCAGTGCTCACCCTGCCACACCTGCAAAACGGCCCAACATTTGCCAAAAATCTGGCAGTGTAAAAGGGGCTAATATTACCTGAATTAGAGGTTAGTTCCACCCCTTCACTTATACTGGCAGGACATTGAGAGCCTCAACATTTTGCATGACAAAGTTCAATCAAATTGAATTGTGTGTGAAGTAGAGTCTGTGGCTTGATATGAATGTGTCTCATCGTCACATAGCAATGAATTGAGGTGAAATCTGATCTGACTGCACCTTCAGGGCAAAGTTTAAGGGACTGATTATTGATAGGGTAGCAGGATGAGACAGAGATATTGTAGGTGAAACTTTTAAGTTTGGTGATTTTGATCTTCTTAGACATGCATCTCATTTTTACCTGGTTCCAATCTTATTACAATACAAGACAACCTCTGGATTAGGTCTGGCCAACCAGAGGCATTTTGGCTGCTGTGCATTTGCACATGATTAACTTCATAAACACCAACCCATTTTTTAGGTTTCAGTCATTATTCAGGATGAATAATTTGCAAGGCACAATCAGTTGTTAGGTAAGTGCAGGGTTGTGTTATTGTATTTCTGTGTTTGCAGGTAGGTTGAGCCTCAGCTCACTGTACCATTTAGTATTTAGTGACATAGAGCTGGTTCTATTTAAACATCGTCTGGCTCCTTTGCCTCCATTACTACTCTCTCTCTGTCTGAAGTGGCAACTACAAGTCACTATTCACTTTGTCGCTTTGTCACATACAGTGTATATAAGTGTGCACTCTTGCTCTTTTCTGGATTATATAATGTAGTTCAGCATACAGTAGGCTATATAGAGCACTGACACTCAATTAATGGCCAGTGGGCCAAATATGCCCACATTGGGATGCTGGGTAGCCCACCAACCGTTTTCGCATTCACAATAAAAACAAACTGATTCACAATGGGAATTTTTTGTACTTTATATTTTCTCAAATCCTAGAAATGCCCCTGCATACAACTGACTTGCATGGGGCTGCTTCAACTGGATTTGAGTCTTTGAGCAAAGATGAGTGAGGGCAGCAATTCAATTATTATGTATACTTATAAATATTATTAATGTTTGTTTGTTTATTACGTGCCCCCTATAATTTTGCAAAAGTGGCCCCTGGACACAGCAAGTTGAGTATCCCTGTTATAGAGCACTGTCGGGAGAACCTACACGTTTGTACAACAAAGGACAGACAACCCAATAGCAAATTGTTTCCTTAAGTTAACTTGTGTATGGTCTGTAAGCAACCCAGCAGTGTGCAACAACATATTGCTCAAATCTCCTAGAATGCTGCATATAGACCATAAGAAACTTTTTCTGTATTTTTTTTATTTTTTTTTTGGCTTCAAGGGATTCTGTATTTATCAACCTATACTATCAAGAGAGCAATTTTTGGCCAAAGAATAAAGTTAAATATACATATTTGTGCCTTACACTGACAGCAACACAGTCTATTTCATCTAAATTAGCCTTTAACCATTTCTAATAGGTCTAAATGAGCATTCATTAATATGTTGTACAACAAAGTAGCTACTCTACAGTGGACTATTTATGTAATCATAAATAGTTACTTTAGTACTTAAACTTTGCAGTGTTACTGGTGAAAGCAAATAAATCTGTCTACTCACCATGAAATTCTCTCTTCCTCCAAGACATTTTCTTTTGCGGATTTGGAACCCATAGCTAGCCTCACTAAGGAGACTCAAGCTTAGCAAATTTCAGGAAAAGGCGCAGGACTTAGACATATGACGCACATAGCTGGTGGGATGATAGGCTACACATTTATACAATTTGAAAATGTAAGAATCACTTTATTGTTACAACAACGGTAAAGGAAAATTGAAATCTTAAAAAATAACTGTTATGCATTTCCATATAATTGTTTTGTCAAAGCAACAGGGAGCCGCTGGAGAGGAGCTAAAGAGCTATGTTGGGAACAACAATGTTAGGCCTCACCAAGGGGCACCATTAATGTAGGGAACAATTCTGGGCCTCAAAGCAGGGGACACCATTAATGTTGTAAATTATACTGGTGATACTATAAAAGACAGGATACTATGTGTTGTGATCTAGGCACCAGTGCTATGTTTTACACGGTGGCACCATTTGTTGGGACTTAAGCCTGAACACGGGCCTGACCTTGTAATAGATCTCCAATTAAAGTATTAAATCGGCTATCGGAAATAATTAATAATTATTAATAATAATAATTAATTATGTTAAATAATGTGACTTAATTTACATTAAATCATTTCGTGGGGCACCATTCCCGAAAAGGGAAAATGATAGCCAGTTAAAGATGTCAGTCTCATAAAATTCGCTTAACTATCAATTTGGAATTTTTCTTAATAATTAAATTAATAACAGTCACCAAATTTAATAGTAAAACCTGAATGATTTCGGAGTTGTTGACGCAGCAGAGGTTGATTATTCATTCACTTTTGTGCAACATTAAACAGACAGCAGGTATATATTTATTCATAAAGTTAGCAAAGCAAAACCAAAAGACACAAATTCTAACTTACTGTACACATGCTTGGTGTGTGTGTGTGTGTGTGTGTGTGTGTGTGTACGCAGGTGAGAGGAAGACAGTGGTTTCCTGTAGTGAAAGTGGTCAATGATAGCTACTGTCAACCTGAGAACCGACCACACACCCCCAAGTACAACTGTGTGTGTGTGTGTGTGTGTGTGTGTGTGTGTGTGTGTGTGTGTGTGTGTGTGTGTGTGTGTGTGTGTGAGAGAAAGAGAGAATCAAAGCTGGCTTCAGATCGGGGGAGGGTTTGTCTGACCATGTGGTCCGGACAAAGACAAAGGAAAAGAAGCAGAAACTTTGATTTGCATCTGGGGTGTAGTTCTGTTGAAAGCCTGTTTGGAAATGGGTCTATGTGAATGTGATTTGTGTTGCATAAAGTTTGGATTACTGCAGATGATGTTTAGTTGCATGCAAGACATTGTCTGTGAACAGCATTAGCAAACTAACATCACTTATCTTTGGTGAAGGCAACTAACCAATGACCTAGTTGCAAACAATCAACAATAACTTGGTAAACAGCATTAAATCACATTCAACAAGTTTAACAGTCTTGCTTAGCCTGTACAGCTGTGATAAAGCTATGCCCAGTTGTTACATTACCGATCCTTGAATGGATGGAAGAAAGAGTCGCTTTGTGGTGTGCTGCTTTTGTCAGCCGGCAAAAAAAGAAGGCTGGAAAGAGCTGTGGCTCCAGATGCAGTCTTTGTTGTGTCCTTGTTCTGAAGGTGCAGATCCGAGGAAGCCGGTCGCCTGGGGTCCTTGCAGAGTTAGACGCTGGGGTGCTAACTCAACTTGGTTCTCCTTGTTGCTGGAAAGTTAGTTGCAAACCTTGTGCTTGCATACTAATTCCTCTGGTTTCCAAGATTTGACCCTGCTGTGGGCATGCAGGTCGTGGTCCAGGAAAAAGAGAGTCTGTGAGTAACTGTCCCCCCTTTTCTCGTTTGGGGCACGGAGCAAGGGTCTGAGCTTGTTGGCAGCCCAGGAGAAAGAGGAGGCTTGTCTGGGCACCTCTGGATTGGTCCACAGCTCAGGACGAGGAGGTGTGAGCTGCTCGGCAGCTCAGGAGCAAGAGGAAGACTGTCTGAATGGGAGCAGACCTTCTACAGTTGCCTGGTGACATCAGAGTCTCATGTCACTGTAAAAGTCTCCTGTTCAATTAAGTTTGTCGACTGGTCTCACTGAGGTGAAAAATAGCTCTCTTTGTCTGAAGAACAAAGAGCATGCAGAGAAGAAAAGCCTTCACATGTTTTTAACAAATGACAAATCATCTGTGGTCCTGTGAATCCCAACAGCTGCCTGTCACTCCTGAGCCACAGGTTGTCTATCCCTGGCCCACAGGAATAGTTCAGCATTTTTTGAAAAAAAAAAATGGTAATTGACCATCTTTCTTAGAGAGAGATGTGGAGGTTGATGTCAGTCTCATGCTTGTGTGTAGAGTGTAAAGTACAGATCTGTGGCCTAACTTAGCATAAAGACTTAAAGCAGGGTAAAACAGCGAGCCTGGTTCTGTTCAAAGTCTAAAAAGTACACCCACTAACACCTTTTAAGATCACTGATGAACAAGCAGTATCTTAATTGTTAAACCTGTACAAAAAAAACTGCAACAATGACTTACATGATTTACAGGTATATGCCAATGTCTGTTGACTACAACGCCCAACTTCTAGAGGATCCACATTATGAGCAGTGAGATCTGACACCTTCCATTTGTTGTTTCAGTGCTCGTCATCCTGTGGTAAAGGCCTCCAATCACGAGTGGTCCAGTGTATGCACAAAGTGACCGGTCGTCATGGTACTGACTGCCCAGTGACGCTGAGACCTCCGACCTACCAACCCTGTCACCATGGTACCTGCAATGAGAAAATCAATGTGAACACCATCACCTCCCCCAGGCTAGGTGAGTCACTTCCAACAACTGTGTTCCACAGTGAGGCTGAAAGGTTAAGGTTGTTTTGTTCATACCAAGTGGCAACCTCCATGGCTAAAGCATAAAGTCAACACAGAAGTGCAAAAACTGCAGTTCCTCTGATGGCCACTTGAGGCTAGCTTTGGAAGCTGGTTAACTCCCATAGACCCCCATGTTAAAATGTCCAACTTTAACATGGGGGAGAGGAGAGGCAGGCTGATGCTGCAGTGAGCGCAATTCCCACAAGACAGTGCGAGAGCCAAGATGGCGGCCCCCAGCTGCTAGACTACACGCCAAACTTTTTCTCTCCCTCGGACTTAAACTTTTTTTTTTCCTCCTTTAATTTCTTTTCATCATTTTTTGCCATCCATCTACTGTTGAACATTAACCGGACTATAACACCTACCAACCTGGATCAGCTTGAGGACTACATCGACAAGTGCTTTGATAGACTCTGCACAATGAATAAAGAAAACAACAGATCCACCACAACTCCAGTAAATGATAAAAAAAGGTCCCGTCCATCTCCTCTTTCCAGTTCAGACTCACCTCCGAAACCACCATGCTGCACTGAGGTAAGCGACATCCTTATTTCCATCGAGCACAAACTTTCCGGACTTGACAACAGAATCGCACTCGTATAAGTTTTGCACAGGGAATTCCAGGCTCTCCGCCAGAGTCTGGAATTCAGCCAGGTCCAAATCAAAAACTCACACAGGAAAACAAATCAGTGCAACAATCCGTCAACACACTTACTACACAACTCACTGCCGTCACCGCTGATAATAAAACAATGAAAGAAAACATTCTGGACTTACAAGCTCGCAGCATGAGAGACAATCTTGTTTTCACCGGCATTCCTGAGCACCCCACAGACGACCCAAAGAAAACAGTCAAGGACTTCATGATTACACAGCTAAAACTCCCCATAGACACCGTCAACACCATCACGTTTCACCGCGTTCACCGAATGGGACAGAAAAATTCATCCGACAACCGCCCCCGTCCAACTGTCGCCAAATTCGAGCACTACAAGCAGAAACAACAGGTCCAACGTCAAGGCAGGCAGCTGAAAGGAACGGACTATGGACTCAACATCAATATCCCAAAGAAATAATGCAACGCCGTAAACAACTTCACCCCATCCGAAAAAAAATGATGACAGAAGGAAAGAAAGCAGTTCTCTCAGTGGACAAACTTTACATTGATGGACAGCTATTCCGAGACCAAACCATAACCCCCTGGCTCTTCTAAACTCCCCTGCTCTATCTTCTCTCTCTTTTGCATTGGATACAACACACACCTTACACACACACACTACCTCTCCCCTCCCCTTCTCTCTCCCTCGCTCTCTCTCTCTCTCCCTCGCTCTCTCTCTCATACCCCCCCAACCCCCCCCCTTCATTCGAGGACATATCAGATTTCATACCAGTTAAAGACTATCTTTTTATCTTTGCACTCATGTCTCACTGCCACTACCGCCATTGATGAATATTATACTCTGGTACCTGGCACCTTTTTGTTGTTGTTTATGTTGTTCGTTATATGTTTCTCTGTTTTGTGTTTATTGTTTGCTGGCCCTTCCTCACCATACATGCAGGCGCATGCACACACACACACACACACACACACACACACACACACACACACACACAAATCAGCTCGCATATCTAAGACATTCCGTTCACTGTAAAATATGATCACTAAAATTTGTATCCTGGAATGTCCGTGGAATTGGTTCTCAGGCAAAAAAACCTCAAATATTTAATCACCTCACAAAATTACAAGCAGACATATGTTTACCTCAAGAAACACATCTTTCCGAATCAGATCATATCAAAATAAAATCATCACAATACAGTCATACATTTTCCACTTTTTATAACTCCAGACAAAGAGGGGTATCTATTTTGATTAAAAATAACATTCCATTTATTCACAACTCCACCATCATAGACCCAGAAGGAAGATTCATTATTATTAACATATCAATCAACAACAGCCCAATCACAATAGGTAATGTTTACGGCCCAAACACTGACGACCCATCCTTTTTTCATAGTTTTTTCTCCTCCATCTCCATTACAGTTTTTCTCGATTGTTTACACACATTTTCTGAAAGCATGCCTCATACTCTCAGAACTCTACACACAAATCAAAAAACCCACACACAATGGGCAAAAACGGGCGGCACGGTGGTGTGGTGGTTTGCACTCTCGCCTCACAGCAAGAGGGTTGCTGGTTCGATCCCGGGCGTGGGAGCCCTTCTGTGCGGAGTTTGCATGTTCTCCCCGTGTCAGCGTGGGTTCTCTCCGGGCACTCCGGCTTCCTCCCACAGTCCAAAGACATGCAGATTGGGGACTAGGTTAATTGGTAACTCTAAATTGTCCATAGGTGTGAATGTGAGCGTGAATGGTTGTTTGTCTCTATGTGTCAGCCCTGCGATAGTCTGGCGACCTGTCCAGGGTGTACCCTGCCTCTCGCCCGATGTCAGCTGGGATAGGCTCCAGGCCCCCCCCGCGACCCTCAAGAGGATGAAGCGGTTAGAAGATGAATGAATGAATGAATGAATGGGCAAAAACCCTCAATTCTCCTGCAAAATGAAACTTTACATTCAAAACAATGTTATTTCTTCTCAAAATGTTATTTTGTTTTCAAATGACACACACACAAACCATCATATGAATAGACATTTATAAAAACCAGTTGAACACTGATGTGCTCAATGTAAAACACTTCTTCTCCATTCATCATAATGACTTAGGCCTTTTTTTTGTTTAGTGTTACATTACAGACAGTACATACATAAGTGTGTTGTTAAATATCTTAGAATATTGTTTAGAATATTGTTTTTATACTCAGAACACACAAATATATTTTATTTTTCCCACAAAAACAATGTACACAGTGTACATTCCAACCAACACAAAGTTGCACATACAGTGGTCTACATACAAAACAACAGAAGAATTTACTGTATACAGTTACAGTAAAAAAACAAAACAAAACTATGCTGCATCCTCTCTTCTGTTTCGGTCTGGACACAGCACCTCATCCACATCACAACCAATGTTTTCCCTGGCCAAGCAGCGGGGGAAATATCGCCTAGCATGGCAAATCCAGCCATGAAAAGCATCGACTGCTATATCTCCACATGCTACCATAGCTTGGAGAAGGGGTATACACGTTTGTGGATTTCAGTCATACACTTTCCATCTCCAGGCAGAAAAAATGGCTCGGATCTCATCAGAGATTATGGTCCTTGGCCTTCCTCGTCCTCGTCCTCGTCCTCGTCCTCCCCGTCCTCCTCCTCTTACTCTCACTCCTCTGGCTCTGGCTCTGGCTCTGTTTCCAATGTTGGCATCCATTGCTCCAAAACAGAAAAGCTCACCTGTTGCCCTTTTATGCTAAAGCTCTGATTGCTAATTGTAAAACTGTGTGACAGGTGTTTGCCCATGTGATGAGTCAGTGTGCATAGTAGGGCAATTAACTTTAGAATTTTGAATGACAGTGTGTTCTTTGTGAAAACAAAGAGATTTTCTTCATGAAAATTGTGCCAAATGCAGAGAATTGTGTGTAGTGTTTTGAAAAAAATGTGTTTTAGAACTGCAATTTGAGTGTAAAGCAGGAATTGTGCTTGTAGTTTAGCAGAATTGGTTCAGGGGGTTGGTGCATGAGTTACATGTTGTGGTCATTGTGTCTCAAGTACCAGTATTTGTGTGTAAACAATTGAGAAAAACTGTAATTCAGACTGCCCGATCATCATAGGAGGTGATTTCAGTACAGTCATTAACTCATTAATAGACAGAAGCAACACCTCAAACAATAAACGCACCTGGCAATCAACAGAAACAATAAAACAGTTCATGAGCGATTTTGGTCTTGGCGATAGTTGGCGCTTGCAACATCCATCCAAAAGACAATACTCATTCTTCTCACCGGTTCACCATACATTCTCACGCATTGACTTTTTTCTTACCGGCAATACACTCGTATCCAACATTTCAGAATCAAAGATCCACCCCATAATCATCAGTGACCACACCCTGGTAACACTCACCTGGAATCAAATCAGTAAACATAAAGTGAGGCCTAATACCAGATGGCGCTTCAACACATCCCTCCTCCAAGACCCAGAATTTGATTGTTATATTAGAAAAGAGTGGGCGTCCTTCCTAGAAATAAATGATTCCCCAAAGTCATCTCCGTCTATAATATGGGAAACAGGTAAAGCAGTTCTAAGGGGCATAATAATCTCTTCTCCACCCACAAAAAAAGAAAGATCAACAAAAAGAAATAGAACTGGAACAAAAAATTAAACATCTTGAGGACATCAATGCAGACAATCCAACAGAAGAAACACAGAATGAATTAAGAAAATACAAATTCCAATTGAACGAAATCATAAATCAAAAAACGCTATTCCTAATTCACAGGCTCCGGCAAGAACAATTTCAACACACCAATAAATCTGGTAAATATCTAGCTAACCAAATCAAACAAAACAAAGAAAAAACAACAATATCCACCATTAAGGACTCAGCGGGGAAGCCAACACAATCGCCAGAAGAAATTAATAACATATTTAAAGATTTTTATGCTAAATTATATTCATCAGAAAAAGACCCAGACCAACAAGACATTGACATTTTTCTTAACAATATACACCTTCCACAACTTAGCCCTGACCAGATAACTATGCTTGACTCACCAATAACAGATGAAGAACTCTCTGCCTCTCTCAAACTCATGCCAAACAATAAATCATCCTGACCCAACAGCTTCCCTGCCGAGTTCTACAAACACTTGTGGCCCATTCTAGCCCCGCTCTTTAAAAAAGTAATAACTGAAATAAAAACCAATTCAAGAGTACCAGCTAACATGAACACAGATACAATTTCACTCCTCCTAAAACCAAACAAAGACCCAACAGACCCAGCCAGCTACTGCCCCATCTCGCTCCTCAATGTAGATCTGAAAATTATCACCAA